CGTTGATGAAATTGAAGGGTTTCACACTTTTAATCACTGGCTTTTCATTTTCAATCAGTAATTTGTTAGAGCATCGTTATGTGGCCTCTTCCGCAAAATTACGACGCTGGATGACATAATAGTGTCGGAGGAGGGAGGGAATAACCACTGGCGAGGAAACTAAGTGTAACCGACTTCAACTTGTACTTTCTCTGGCGTCTCTTCCTCATTGCCTGCGACCTTGTCACCTCGGCGCAAGTGGCATAAGGAATGACTTTGGTTCACTTTTGTCAGAGATCGAAAGATACAAGGAAAGAGCAAAAGGCCAGCGATCACCAGGGGGGAGGAGAGAGTTTGATGCCTGAATCCAAGTCCTCCTCTTTTACTTTCTCCTCCCAGCTCCCTCATTCCCTCCTATTGTGTGTTCGCTGTAGTAGCATCTGGTTAATGGGCCTCTTCAGTCGATAGTCTCTTCCATCTTCTTGCACACACAAACACACACAGATTTTGTGTAGGCAGGCATATACACATTCTCTATCTGCTGCTATATATAGATATATATATTTTTTTCCTTTTAGTGTAAAAAGTAAAGTTGTACAAATGTGGGAAGGATACTTTCTGAAGGACATTTAGTCCTTCTGTGTATGCCGGTGCATACTTACTTTTTATTGCATATGTATTTCATACAATATGCATGCACTGGTGTCGGATTGACGAGATCGTCCCGGACATCTGAGTGGCTGATCACAGGGGTCAGCTAAATATTCTCTCTCTTTAAACTTTACTCTTCAATTCAAGGTTTCCTTCTGTGTTTGGTTCAGCATTGTCCTCTTTAGACAGAAAGTTAATGCGACCCAGCAGTGATTTCTGCAGATGGAAGAGAAGAAACGTCTTGTGGCAGCAAACTGCAATAAACGGAAACGTGTGTGGAAGATGGCACGGAGTTTCTGGAAAGTGTGCGAACGTCTGTCTCTGTGTGTGTTGTGTCTCTTGGACACCATTTTATGTAAACTCCGACTGCTGGATCTAAATTCTAACTAGGTTTTGTACGGTGTAATCCACATGAGTAATCCTGGTGAATGAAAGACGAGGCCAGCGGGCCGTTTTTTTTCCAGTTTTGGCAGAATTAGCTAACTAGGAATGCTGGACACAACATTTCAGGGTATTCAGTTTAACCCGTCCCATCCAACAAATAAGCCTGGATCTGCGGATTAGAGCACCATTATTAAAACCAGCTGGGGACCTGACGCAGGCTGGAGGCATGCTAATGCGAAGCTATTAATGTTACATGCTCACATGATGCCGAACAAGTCTGCACAAGACTTGACTTTTGAAACTGAAGGAAGACTTTGGAGTAAAATGCTGCGATGTAAAATGTTGACAGTTTGCTGTCACAGTGTGATTAGATTGGTGGATAAGTAGCTCAATAGACTATACAGTGATGCTGCAGCTGGACGCCACAGAGAGGGGAGTTTTTATCAGACTTGTCAAAAGTAGGAACTTGAAAATGTTACTTGGAAGTGATTTTGAGCCATTTGGGCTGAACTTACTGCTACTCTGCCATCCTGTATGAAGCGTTGTGGTTGTGTTGACACTGGCGGATAGAACAACTGGATTTATTGCTAACAAAATAGCGAAATAAAAAAAAATCCCTCTGCTGTATTCTTAGACCATTACACCCCTGTAGATATCTACTGTATTTATCAGTGTTTGGACAGTACCTCAGTGACAGTATTACTTTCCCCACTAAGAGTAATAGAAGGGATTACATTTTCCAAAACACTGGAAACCAAGCATCAATCCAAGTAGCTCCACGTTACTGCTTAGTCAGAACACATTTGATTTTTCAAGGTTATCTTATGACAAGCCAGTAATCATATAATGAGTAACCGAACTACTTTTTGAAATGAAATAATGACTGATATTCCCTGATAATAAAACAAAAAGGAATAATAAGCTAAACATAACCTATTGCATTGTCCAACGCTTCAGCTTCCCATCACAACATTTTGTATTACAGTACGGCCTCGTGTCTGGAATGAATCTTCCACCGAAAGACAAAGGAAATGTGTTTTCCAGATAACATTACAGTTGCAATAAAAGCTTGGCTTGGGATGTGATTGAAACAATGCTGTGCCTAAGCTGCGCTGAGCCCACCTGTTTGTTCTTCCGTAATTGGATTCTGCTTCATTCCATTTGCCTTAATGCTGATGCATAATGCAGTGTACTGAGGGAGCTGGCCATTACCAGCCAGGGGACACGGCACGGAGGAGTAACCCGACCTCGCCAACCCGCCCCGTCTCGGGACATCTTTTCAGAGCCTCCGTCCTTCAAAGCGGCCACTTGCTCGGGCTGGATGGATTGATGGTCGAGGTTGTGGGCGCGATGGGAACCAGAATAGCAGGTGTTGATGTTACGGCCTACGAGTACAATAAGCCGGACCTCAGCAGCTTGTTAATCCAAAATAAACAGGCGCTGGTGTGGACAGTTTGGCTGTGGGTGGAGGAATCCTCATCAAACGGAGAGTGCAAAGAGCTGCTACCATGAAGGGAATGTGGGGCCGAGGCTTAATCTTCGCTTTGGAGATAAGAACGTGGAGAAACGCGCCTCAGTCCTCCGCAGCATATCGACACGGTGGCTCAGATGCATCAATTTGGTTTCTTACATTAGCAGACTAATATAAAATATTCTTGTCCATTGTCGTGTACTGTACTCACAACATGGGAGTTTTCTTTAACATTATTGTTGCTGCAAACACACACACAAAAAAAAATACAGCACAATCAGCGAAGGATACTTTGATTACTTTTTTCGATGATTTTTCTCTCGTGTGGGAGGCAGATAGCATGTTAGGGCCAAATCTATAAACAACACAACAGCTTCACAAACTGCCAGCAGAGCGGTGACTCCCACATGCTCTTTGCCATTTTCACCACGGCCATACTTCTCTCATGATCAGCTGCCTTCGCTAAGTGGCTGGTGTCGATGGCTGTGACTCAGCTCAGCCCACAATAGTGATGAAGATGAAACATCTGGAGAGTGTGAGAATGTGTGTGTGTGTGTTTGGCCATGTATGTGCACACATTGTAAACGGGGGGGGGGCATAAAGAAATGAAGCAATAAGAAAAGTGACATAAATTGTGTGGGCACTGGTGTGTATATGTGACTGAGTGGGTGAGCGACGGTGGCCAAGGTTCATTAGCGTGTCATCGGCTGCCTCCACACCGAAATAATAAGGTCCCCTCTCTCTCACTCGCTTTCTCTCTCTTTCTCTCTCTTTCTCTTCCCTCAACTTTCCTTCCTTTCTGCATCTGCTGAATATGAACTGAGCTGTGAAAATAGCATCTGATCTCAAGTCACCTCTCTCTCCCGCACGCTGACACATGATGAAGAACCAGATAACAGCTGATGAAGTGACAAAATTAAAATGGAAACAGGCAGGTCGAGAGGCGAGAGGGACGTGGAGGGCTTGATGAGCCGAGGAACACGTATGTGATAAGGAACTGACATCTGGATCTCAGGGTAAATGAGGAGTAGGGAGCACGCAAAGGGCAAGAAGGGAATAGATTTCCATCTCTTCGGACCGCTTTCCTTCGTTATTAGTCAATATGTCGCTTCGTGAAAACACTCCCTGGCTGCAGAGACAGCTTTTTTTCCCAACATGAAGTAGATGTTTGGACACTGGTTGCAGAGATATTAATGACCGCAAAACATTATGCAGATGGAAAGAAATCAAAGTTATTTAAGAGGAGCAGCAAACAGACATATCTGTATTTTAGGAGCAGGTGCATTCATTCTGGTGTAAATATGATCAAGGCGAGTCAGTCGAGCTTTGAAGAGTGGATACGGGTTCGCTGACAGACGAGACGAGAGACCGATACAGCTGGGAGAGAGGGAGGGTTAGGTAAAGGTTCACCAGAGAAGAGTTGACAGCAAATAAAATGGTAGCCTTTGGAAATGCCTGTCTTCATTGCATCAGCCTGATCCACAGAAAGCATAAAATAATGCCCAAAAGACAGCTTAGCGGACAGTATGGTCTCTGCGGTGCTAGAGGGCGCGGAGTTGAAATGAAAACTAGCAAATAGCATTAATGTATCACAAAAGTAGAGAAAAGCCGACACTTTTCTCCATTTGATATGAGGCCCTGACCCAAGGCAGCCACATATATATATTTTTAAACTACTGTATGTTCCTGCTGCCGCGGCGAACGCACGGCAGCGCTCGCCCACCGCGCTCCGGCTGACATGTGTTTGACCCCTATCCTTGTCTACAGGAGACAGCACCTGGTGCCTCACCGCAACACCATTAGTGGTCAACCACACACACACACACACACACTCGCCACGAGATATTTTTAGGGGATGTGATACAACCACTATGGTAGCTAATGCGCAGAGATTCACACCCCATGGGCTCGACAGGAAGGGATCCATTTCCTGACAGCGACCGCAAAACCATCCACACATGCAGCACATATATCCTCCGTGTGTGAACTCTTTGCAAAGAAGGATTTTTTATTTTTTTTTAATAGAGGAAAATACATAAATGTATACATGCAAAGTGCTCTTTCAACGTTCCCCAGCCTTTAAGTGTTTTCAAAACGAGTCAAACTTATGCAAATTCCTTGATCCTTATTAAGCTACTGGCAGTTGTAGAATCGACAATAGTACAATTAAACTGCGAGCAAAGCACTCCACTCGCCCTGGAGAGATTTCCCGAGCACATCTGTAAATACTTTGTAGCTATAATTCCACAAGAACCATGACTAACCCTACAAAATCCACTTATGAGTCAACATTAACTATCTGAAAGTTTTGGGGTATTTTTTTATTTTTTCTAAATAAATTACCTCGCTTCCAAACAGGAAAGAAAACATATTCACTATTAAAAATCTATTCACGCCGATCTGTCTGTGAAGGAGGAAATACAGTCGGAAGCTGGATTTGTTTCGTGCACGTGCAGAACTACGTGTAAATTAACACCGTCTTCCCTTGTGTCTCTTGCATTTCTTTATTTTGCAGCCTCCACCATCGCTGAGAACGGCAGGAAAACATGCCTGAAGCTCAAAGTTTTCGTCCGACCATCAAGTAAGTGTTTGCATGCAACGCGAGGCTTTGTAACGGAGCTTGCTGAAGTACACATATGAGCTGCAAATCAAAACAGTTTATGTCTCTGGTTACTTCACTACCCTGTCTCCTACATACCCCCCCTCCCCCCTTCTTTTTCATTTATCACAGAACTGCTAAGAGGATGTTTTCTTGAAAACATGAAAAAAATAAATATAACAGAGAATCACATTAAAATGAACTCATCTGAATGTTGCCATGAGCTTTGTTGCTTGGGATGCTTAATTTGACGGGGCTGAGGGGTGGAAGGGCTACAAATGTCACTAACCTATTTGGCCTCTAATGATTTCTCGTTCTCCCTATTTTCTGTTGTAGACAGCTGTGTGAAAACTATAGGCGTACATGACCGCGTTTTTGATGTAAACGACAAAGTAGACAATACATTAGAACCACGAGGTTAGTATGGCTTCCTGCTTTGTTTTTTTTGTACATGTGTCTCTTGTTCTGTGCTTCTTTCTTTCTTTCTACTTTGCTTGTCTTGGAGGAAGCTGATCTGTCTTCCACATCGCTGCCTGATGATTCTCTTAAACTGATTCTTCTCCAGATTTCTGAAGTGGTTACCTGTTGCTGCCTACATGCAAATTGCTGTTCATGTACTGTTTGCTTTCTGTATGTTGCATGTCAATACATATATATCTCTGTGTGTGTATATATATATGTCTGTGTATGTGCACACACACACTCACACCGATATACAGATTATGTTATGCCCCCAAAGTCAGTCGCTTTATTCAAACATGATCAGAGTTTTTATTTTTTTTATACAGATGTTCATTCACACAGTAACAATTTTTTAATAATCTGCTTTACTCTCCACTGAGCTGCTGTTTGGCTCTGTATCCCAGCAGCAGCATCGATTATTTTTCTGTGCTCAGAGCTCACAACACTTTTTTTTTTTTTTACGTCTTCATACAAAAGCCGAACTGAGTCACCGACATGAAACATCACCCACGTGCTATTGTCTCATTCTCTGCACCAGCTCACCCCGAGGTCCAAAACAGCCCAAACACTGCCCTGCTGTCAATATATATGCATTTAAAAAAAAAACAATTAAATACAGTGAATGTGACATCAGCCATTTTTAAAAAGTATTGCATCATCTGTGGAGATCAGATGATAAACTGCCTCCTCAATGGGACACACATACACAAGACCAGATCCCAGGACATTTCTGATGCCCACCTGCCTCTCCTCCTGCCTGTTTGCCCGCCGCCTTATCCCGCTTGCATCTTTAATGGCTGCCTCTCATCTTTGGAAGCTTCCTTTTGGCCCGTTCCTCCTTTTATGTTCTCCAAAGGAGGAGAATTAAAACATTCATCTGCTGTTGCCCTGTCCCTCCACTCCCCGCCACACACACACACACACACACACGTTTGCGTGGTTATGTAACTGCCCGATCCTCTGTTTTCTATCTGTCCTCTGCTGTGCATGGTTCAGCGACTTTCCCAAGGTGCAGCGGGGCACATGGCTGCACACAGATACTGATGCCACTGCCAGGCAGACACAGGAGGCGGCTCTCGAGTGGGAGACGAATTCGAAAATGTTTCTGACGATGAGAGTAGAAACATTATACGGCAACTGAAGTTCATATGGCAACTCAGACTTTATCGCAGCGACACAAACTTAATAGGATTCTTAATAAGTACAGTCAGGCTGCACTCTGTGAATGAATGATGTCTTGTCTGTTGTTGTAAGAATGCATTCTGTGCTATAAATTCACTTATTTTTTTTTGTTTTTCTTTTCTTTTTAATTCTTCAGATGATACCAGCCACGAACCGGCTGAGCCTTCCCGAAGAGAAACAAACGCTGCGCCGCACCTGCAGAAAACAAGTCGGCTTCTGACTTCGTTGCTGGTCTGCCTAGCAGCACTCTTCACTTTATAGCGCCTCCCCATGTCCCGGAGGTCATTTACACCTAGCGTGGCCTGAATCTGCCCGAGGCTGCAGGGTTAGGGGGTGGGGATTTGGTGCGGATCGCGTTTGCTTGATTGGGCATAAGAGCAGGCTTCTCAAGGAACCCTCTATTTTTTTCAGAAAAAAAAAAAATATTTAAGTGGTCTTTCTCCGTCTGTGAGTGAAAAAAAAAAAAAGTTGATGTTAGAAGTGGGAGAGACAGTTCCCCCTTTTAAACCTTCAACTAAGATGCCAAATCCCGTTTTTTGACACTTAGTGATTCTTATTTTCCCGTGACTTTTGACATCCCTTTACATCACGTTTATGTCATTGCAGCACTGATGTTTACCCGCATACATATAGCACACGACCGCAGCATCGCAGAGTCAAGACGCCTCTACGCCGACGGTCGGTAGAGTTTGTTTTGGGGTTTTTTTTTGTACACAGTAGCAGTATTACTCAGTAGGAAAGTGAAGACTCTAGAGCCTTAGAAATGACTGTACATACACAAACAAGTAGTAGTCCCGAGACCTCTCAAGAAGCCTTTCACGAGATCTTCTGGGTGATGAGCAGATTTTTTTTACTATTTTGCTGGGATCTCTAGGGGAAAAGAAAGATGTAGGATGGTTCTAGGTAGAGGTCAGAATAGAAACCGCAGCACTGAGAAGCGCGTACATGGCATGCACCTTAACCCACTGGTCTCTGGTTTAACGATAGCGCCCCCAGTAAGAGTTTGTATATAATGGATAAGCTGCTTAGAAGTTCAGCGCGTGAAGGTAAAAATCCATGGATCCGGCGTTTAACTCCTTTGTGTCGAGCACGCCGGTCTGCTCAATAAAACATCTCTTTAAGAATCGCAAAAACAACTAAATGGAAACTTTCTCGCCAGACCCCCCCTTTTTGCCGACGAGGATGGAGGATCGATAGCTTTTGCGAGTTGATCACACAATTTCAGCCGCAGTCATTTTAAGCAATGTTTACTGAGCTGGGAAGCAATTGTTCTCTCTGTTTCATTTGAGTATTAGTCAATATTAACACTCCCATAAACATTAGCATCCACAAGTTGTTTTTTTTCCTCCCTCCTCTCGCCGCTGATTGTCAAAATGATTGTTTAAAAAAATTATTCACAGCTCGGTTGGAGCTTTTTACTATTTTACTTTGCCAGTGGTTTCATTAAACTTTGTTTTTAACAATGCAAACACTGTAAACTTTAGTGTTTGTACTTAAAACAGAACAACAACAGAAGTAATAGCAAAGAGTTTGAAAAGACCCTTCAGTTCACAGTGCCATACTTTTTTTAAATTCATGTTTGCCCCTTAAATATAACCGTAGCTTCGACTCGTACAGTAGATGTTTATTGCAGCCGTTCGTTTACAGGACTGATGCATAGCTCCAATTAGTTGGAAACACAACACAGGAAGTAGTATCCATTAAATCCGAGGCGATGCTCTGTTTAGTCTAGCCAGGTTTATGTTAGCACTTAAATTCTAAGGAATCCACTGCGCAATAAGGACGTTCAGCTTCCTTCAAACTCCCACACGGTGATTTAGCATAATGAAAGATTTTTACTATACGCCCTTTTTTTTTGTTTTTTTATTCAGAGAGACGTTTGCTTCCGACTCTGCAGAAACCGACCCAGGTTGTGAGAGAAATGGGGCACCGACCGGTTTGGAAAGACAGAAAGAGAGAAATGGAGCGAGAAAAAAAAAAAAAAAAAGGAGCGCAGGAGCAATTGCATGTCCACCTTCAGCTCCTCGTGTTACTGGTTTAAGTGACTCTTTAATGAGGTTCAAAATGACAGGCATGTGGACCCCATGTTGTGGCAAAGGGAGTTATTTCTGGTATTAAAAATAGATGGTGGAAGGCTTGGGGGGTCTCGGGAGGGGGGGTGTAGATTTCCACCGTGGGGGGTTTTAAAGCACCAATGACCTTGCAGTTTGAGAGAATTGGTGAGTGAAGGAGACAGAAAGAATTAAAGCGGGAGACGCACACACAGAGATAGAAAGACACGGGAGGTAGCCGAAGGTTGTGTGACTAGAGTGCCTAACAAAACGCTACTGGAGAAACACCTGATTCAATGACAAACATATTGTCCAGCACCATTCAAAGGCATGCACTGTTTTTGTTTTGTTTTTATGGCTGCCTTTTTTATTTTTCTTCTTCCCTAGAAAGACTGCCTTTGCCTTTTCGCCATTTGTTTGTCGTGCTGCGGTAACAATGCTATTAAAGCAGAATAGCAGCTCAGCTATGAGGGGTAATAGGAGACGAGGCCATTTAATGAGGTACTAATTTTCAGGATAACACCACAGGGAATAAGCACTGCATAAGATTCAAAATGGACGCTTGTCAGCAGATTAACACTAGACTTTTATTACGAACCAGCTTCAATTGTACTCTCTTATAATTACCAGTACTATTTGTCATTATTGCTACCATTACCATGATTTGTTCTGTACACACACACCTTAACCTGGGAAATGAGGATCAACTTATATACTGGATACTGTGTATCCTGAGGTAGTCAACCATAAAACATGTAGTGTTAGGTTAGTATCTGTTTTGTACCTTTCTGGAGGACAAAAGAAAAAAAAAAAACAACAAAAAAAAACGAGATACATCATTGTTAAAACTGTATAATTATTATTATTGTTATGATGATGATGATTATGACTATTATTATTATTATTAGGAGAACTTCTTGATGTAAATAGTGTTTGATATTAAAGTATTAATTTGGTTGTTATGTCTTTTTCTAAAAAAAAACAAAAAAAAATATTATCTCTGGGTTTTGCGGAGTGTGTTGCTGTCCTCAAACGACGCATTGTGTGCTTTGATCCTCAATGCCTAATGAAACTTTGAGCTAACACGGAAGGGGGAAGCCTGGTGGGAGCTGTACGCGCAAACCGCCGTACAGACGGCTCGGACGTTAGCCGACCAGAGGCTCACCTCTTAACATGTTTCAAACCAGTCACCGACCTTCACCGTCTCTTCACATAACGGATCCTGCCTTGGAAAGAAACACTTGGGACTTAACGGATAGCCTATTTTTTATTTTTTATTTTTTTGCCTTCAACATTTTTGAAAGCATGTTGATCAGCTCAAAGATCAGCCATGAGTGGACTGTTGGCTTTTTAACGGAAGGATCTCACCGGTTTCATTATGTGGCATGCGCATGAACTTGATGACATGTTAAAAAAAAAACAAAAACAAAAAAAAAAGTTTTTAAGAAGAAAAAGTTTTTTTTCCTTTTTGCTGTTGTTTTCTTTTTTTTTTTTTTTTCTTTAAGATGTATTAGATTTTTCTGATTCACTTTCATGTTGTGTGTTTTTGCATCCCCCCCCATTCGAGTGATGTCATTAAACGATGTAGTTACAGATATGTACATAACACAAACCATTGTTGTGAAGTTACAGTGGGAGGGGAGGGGGGTCGGTCGGCCATTTTTGTAGTTCAAAAAGCAACTTTTAGCTTTCTTTTTTTTCCTAAGAATGACTCTCTCTCTCTCTCTCTCTGTACCCATCCACTGAATTCATCCCATGTAGCTGCAATCTGTCTCCTCTGACTATTCATCCGCTCTCCCCAAAGAGGAGCTGTTTGGGAGCTGTATACATCAGTGTGGATGTTGTTTTTTTTCAGTGTGAAGAAGGAAAAAAAAAAAATGTGTGAGACCTATAAGTTTGAGTGTGTGTCTCATTTGCTGTTTTTGCTGCAGTGAATGGGAAGCGGCAACCCTCTTTGGCAGCGAAGAGTGTTTCCCATGCCTTAGCCCTTCAGCCTCTGCCCTGGCAGCCCCGTCTGTGTACAAGACGCTTTCTGCCATTGTGCTTCTACACAGAACAGCTGCTGGCGTCGAAGAGACTACAACGGGGCCCTTCACTTTCTCTCCCTTTTTAACAACCCTAAATCACTTGTCACTACGGTAGACATCGGTCCTGGGCACAGTTCAAGGATTAGCGCCACCACCGCCACCATTACCGCCACCCCGTCTTCCACCGAATTGTTAGCGGGGTAAAGCCTATCATCGATCCAGGTTCTGTGTTTTTTTTCCCAGCTTCCCCCTCTTGCCGATGAGCCACTTGTTCATTTTATGTCCTGTCTCATTCTTCTTGTGCTTGTATAACCCTCCTCCCCGTCCCCACCTCCACCACCACCTGCTGCCCCCTTCTTCCTTCACCTTTGAATCCCACTTTGCCACCAGTGGGGAATGTTTCCAACCTGCTCTTTTACAGTATATAAACGACGACAAAAAAAAATTTGACAAAAAAATTATCTGTATTTGTATATACACGTGTCTGAGCAACTATGAGTAATACAATAAAACAGAAATACATTGCTTTCATGATTGTGCTGCTGGTTTTTTTTTTCTTTTTTGCAAATCTGTCGTCGAATTTGTCGCCGCGTTAGGAATGTTTACTGCATTAAACGACTCCTACTGTAACTAATACAGAAAATGAACATATTCCTCCGACGCTCGAGCAGAACCGTGTCTCGTCATGTGCCAAATTAGATTCCATCGCAAGCTCTTCGCTCTTTTAGGCTTCCTCTGCCTCTCGCCCGGCTGTCTACGCCGTGAAATCACACCCGCCGCTAAAAAAGACAAGACTGAGAGGAACACCATCCATCAGGATCAAGAATAAGACCTTAAACCTCCTTTCACTTCAGTCGGGCACTAATGAGGACACCTAATAACCTTCTGCTGGACCCCATCAGCGCCATTTAGCTTCACCTTCCATTATCTCTGGTAATTAGACTGAGAGTCACCAAGCCCTAAGGACCAAAAAGAGACGGGGGGAGGGGGTGAGAAAGGCCCACTTATAAGCCAATCGGAATCCAGAAATGTTGCGAGGATCAGTGTAATCTTGAGCGTAAATGCTACTCTTTGTTTAAGGGGTAAACAGTTGGATTTGACGGAGGCTTATATAAAATAAATGCAGCTTGGATTGTTGGAGGAACGTCGCGCCGCCAGTATGTCTCCAGCATTAAAGGCTTTTTCAGTGGATTTTGGTAAAGATTACAACGCCATATAGGCTGGAATAAAAAAAAAATGTGTTCAAATATCATGTAGGATGCACTTCTCTTCAATCTCATCTTTCTCCTTTTTCTTTTCTTTTTGAAGCATCAGACGAAAAAAAAAGAAGAAGCTTTATGCATGAACACACTTGACATGATGAGCCAATTAGTGTCAAGTTGTTCTTCCTGGTGTTATTACTAAAGAAAGCTCTGGAGATGCAGGTGTGTGTGTGCGCGTCTAGGAAGACCAATAAAGACAAATCACGGTGCCTGATCATTAAATCTGGGATAATGATAGCTTTATGTGAAGATGTGTCCCAGATGTACTATTAAGCTATGATCATAGTCAGGGTCCGTGACCAGCAGCGAGCGAGAGGTGAGAATGAGATGTTGCTGAGCTGTTGTCAACCACCCCCCCCGAGATGGCAACATGAATGTGCACAGATTTTATTTTTTCTTTACCTGCGCCTTTGATTCTGTTTCCACCATAGAAGAAGCTTTATCTTAACACAATTACAGCCCGACTGACAGCGTTGAAGAGGACACTTCAGTGAAAGGCTTTCTGAAGGCATCATTCTCGAGTCAGCCGGCTCACTTATTGGCTGCACGGTGTTTCGTTTCCATGTGAACAATCGGTTTGACTGACAGCTCTGAATGATGTCTTCAGTTAATCGCTTCAGTGGTGTGAAAAGGTCATAAATCACCCAATTACGTTGCCCCGCTTTATGAATAGATATTTTTTTTGGGGGGGAATATTTAAAACGCCTCCAAGGCATATCAACTTAGTCAACCCCATATTTATTGAGAGGGAGTTTGCGGGTGGGGGGAGGATGGCTGCTTGTGCCAGAAATAACTGATAAGCTGAATACATTTCAGAGTCTAAGTCACACTGTGGAATGTCACAGCGTTACTCAGCTGGAAAGTCAGAAGAAAATTCAAGGTCAGGAGTTAGGATTTCTGACAGGTTTGACATGTTTTAAGAATAAGTTCAGAGGGAATAAAAATAATTACAGAGAGGGAGAGAGGGGAAAAAAAAGGAAAGTAAATGAGAAAATGCTGGGTAGAGGTGCACCTACGCACAGTTTTACAGCAGATTTATCAGAAAAGCACAAAACATGTTTATTTGAAACACCCCGTTTCTGTCAAAACAGGTACAATTTATCTCATCTGTGTTTGATCAATACACACCAAAATATAATCTGTAAGTTTTTTTTTTTCTCATTGCACTTTGAGAGTCAAAGAAAACAGAAAACTCCCAAATCTCCATCTTGCAGGATGCACAAACGAGTCGCAGATTGTAGTTTCCGTTCAATAAATCAGGTGCAAATCACACAAATCAATCACTGGTGGAGGAATATAAATACTAGAAGGCAGCATGCTGTAAACAAAGAGGTAAAAACGCTGCAAAGATAACAAGAGAAATGATCCGCAGATGGTCGTAAAGATGCTCCATCTGCCCGTCTTTGTATACATTGAACCTAGGTTACCCCGAGCTTATGCGGAGGTCACTGCGGCGTGATCCACGCAGGTCATTTTCCTTTACTTATGCCTCTCACATGTTGACCTTCAGGGCTGAGAGATGAGGGGTTGCAGCCAATCCAGAGGAGGATTACGGGAGGGGAGATGTGATGCCACTACAAAATGTCAACTTCAAGGCAGATGAGATTGAAAGAGGTGATGGTGGAAGGTGAGGATCACATGTTTGAGCAACTGTATGTTTTATGCATCGAGCTCTTGTACTGTACTCTCGTTTTTTGAATCCGCGAGGAGCCGCGAAAACTCTCGAGAGATTGTTTTCGGCGCGGCGTGCAGGCAGTCAGATGCTACGGAGAGCACGCCACGAAAGAAAGATGCTCCAAAAACAGCAGGTTTTCACACCGCATTTCACACCATGTCTGACGTGTTACGCTAAGCATTCACACATGCAGAAATGAAGATTTCCTCATGTGAAGTGACAGCTAATTTCACATGGAGCCGCGAATAATGAATGCAACCCAGAAGTACGAGGAGTGAGACTAATAGAACACTAGCGCGAGCGGTGGGTGGGTTTCGGCTCTGCTTGGAACAAACCAAAACTTGTTACAGTAAAACAAATTAGTTTGTCAAGTGTCAAACGGTTTCAATAAAAAATTTGGCACGACACGTATTCCACTGGGAGCAAGTGGTGCTTTTTTTAAAGTAACATCAAATGAAAGTGTTGATTGGAGTGTTTCCATTGGTGGAGCTCATACAGAAATGCTGTTAAACATGGTGGCACGGCCAAGTTTAGTCACGAGGATCTTGTTATTTTTACGGTTGCAGAATTTAGTAATTATCCCCGTCAATAGCGGAAATCAGAATTATATCCTGCACGTCTATCTCCTTCCACCCTCACAGAACGGATCAGTGGTATTTGTGGGGTACTGCTGTGGAAATTGAGAGTCCCCATTCACCAGCTTTTTGCCATAGAGGAGGAGGAGGAGGAGGAGGAGGAGGGTGGGGGTCCTTGTCATCTCCGAGCAGCTCCTTCCACTCAGAGTAAGTGTGCCATTGAAATGGGAGTATTTCCTGCCAGTGCCCATTGAGCGAATGAGGCAAAAGCGACAGGGATATTACACTGACATGTCAACACTAGATCATAGAAGTCTTTGCCCCGGGGTCATAAATTAGATTCTAATGATTATGTCATTCTGGTAAAACAATAACTTTCAAACCCAGTCTCCTTTTATTTATTTATTTTTGTTGTTGTT